ACTTTTCTGTTAGTGATTTTTAACATTATTTTGAACACTGATGCTGATATTCAATAAAAAAAAGACTTCCCATTCTGGAACTGAATTCCTGTATTTTGAGTCCAAGCATAAAGAGCCTACTTACTACACCTTAGAAGCAGGGGAAACCAGTTATTGTTATGACAAGACATTCATGTATTTAAATAATTCTCCTTATCTTTTCCCCTTTAATCAGTTGGATGCACAAGCATATTCATGAATTTCTTCAAATCTCTGACAAACGCAGAAGGAAGGGTACTCATTTTCTTGGAGAGGCCTTTCTGCACTGATAAAACTCTCAAGAAAAAGAAAAGGAAATGGAATTCATCAGAGCCAGTTAAAAAAATGCAGCTTACACAGGGCATTAAAAAATCTGTCTGCAAATACACCAATCATCATTTTGCTTCAATAAGGAACATGGCACAAGAACTATCTAGCTAAAAATGACACTCGAGACGGATTTCAATTTTATAACGCATATTTCTTTGACATTAAACTGTAGATACTGCTTCATGCTCTTGAAGGTTTTTGAAGAACACTTGAGTATTAACAAAACCGTGCAGTCCTATGGAGACACAGTAAAGGTAGTAAGCAAAACTCTGAACAAATGTGGTCAAAACAACTTATTCTTATTTTGGCTAGCATCAAAGATTCCAGCTATATAATAATTTTTGTTCTCAGTTTTTCTTCTAAAGTCACAATTGAAGGACTTTAGAAATGTCCATGATACTAACACTAACAAACCTCGACACTGACCTAAATCCAGGGGTCACAAACAAAACAGCCTCTTCCAAACCTTGTTGGATTCCAATTTACAAATGTAAATTAATAAAATATACACACAAAAAACATATAACACAGTGACAGCAATCAGAAAAGGTTGTAATTCTCCACAGCACTCGTATGAGGCACAATGAACGTTTCGTGAAAGGCAAGATTCATTTTTCTCAGGGGAAAAGAACTAAGAGTAAGTAAAGGATTCAAGAACAATTATATTTACAATAGGTTTGCTTAGTTGGTGATCACGTGCAGTGAAAGACTTCAAGCAATGTCTTCTCTCACTTTAACAACAGATGGTGAGGAATTTAGCCACACATAAAAGGACATTTTTGTGAGGGCACCTGGTATTTCAACAATGAACACTACTTCAAAGTAGAAAACCTACACTCATTTGCATACATATATACCATACATACAAGACAATGCCTTAGACTCGCATGCAACAGAATGACAGACAATCAAATTATGTCATCAAACTACAGATTCTATCAAACAATTCTGGAAAACAAAATGCACATTCAATTACTTTTAAAAAGTTGTAGGTATCAAATGTAACAAGGAATGTCTCAAAACCACTCTGTATTCACAATGTAGCAGATGTTCAGGTCACAGGTTATTCCCGAACACAAGTTCCAAATAGCATTCTTTCCCCCACACTGACCAGATGTAGGTAAATCAACTATCATCACAGGGAGTAGACTGCCAGAACACAAATACTGTCCCCTTCAATGATAACACAGTTCTCCCTATCATTCTGGCATTATCAGCTACTGAAAGCTTTCTAGGAGGTGCGCCTTCTCCATCTAATAAGAAATTCTACTCAGATAGATTTACTTGAACATTTTTAAAATAATACCAGTCTTCATAAGAATCAAACAGAAAAATGACTCATGACGAACATACACATATTTATATATACATAAAAACACATGCGTGCACAAGCACATACAAACACAAGCACACATACCCACACAAATGCACATGTGATGATGAAGATTGTCAGCCTGCTAAAGTCTCATTGTCTTTCTTATAGGGAACGACTAAAAAGGAAAGACAACATCGTTTTCTTAAAGAAGTATAAAACATAATAAGACTAGTTGCTAGCATTGGAGAAATGTGAAAGTAAATGTCACCACCAATGAAAAGATACGGCTTGCAGTACTAGTGGACATGTTGAGAGCATCATCAAAATATACATGGCACTAAACCAGAGGAAAATAAACCCACATATGAGTTCCGTACATCATCATGATCATTATTCACTTCTTTCACCCTGATATTGGGTATACCCTGATATTGGGTATAAGCCACCAAGAAGAGTCCTTCTCGCGGCTCTTTTCTCTCCTTCTCTTTCCCCAGGGGCTCTATTTGAGGTTTTGTCTTGTTGCTTTGTGGGCTGGCTTGCAGTGAGTCCAGTCCATCCCCACCTTCTTTTTTTTATCTCACATTCAATTGGCTGTTGATTAGTTCGCCTCCATAACTACAGTTCTGATGGTGTTTCTGATGGTGTCCGACCAGTGGAATTTTATGATCTTCCAAAGACAAGATGAAAGAACAGTCATTTGTGAGTGCTGTACTCTTACCCTTGTTTCGATCAGAGGGCTTACTGTTATGCAACTTTGTAAGACACACAGAGGCTAAGAGAAACTAAGTCACCGGCTAAAACTTTTCAAATACAGAAAGTTTAATAAGTTAAAGAGTATCATGTATACTGTATTATGCTTTTCTAAACTTAATTAAAAACATTAAAAAAGCAGCACCTGTTTCTACTTGGTTTTGTTTTCACGTAATGGTGTAAAAGTCACAAAGTAAAGAAACATTGACTTAAAGAAAAGCCCTTTGTCTCCCCTTGGCAAAAGTAGATGATATTATTTAATAGGATCATCATCACAATGATTCTTATCGACTGATCCTTCAATATTCAATGTATGTGTTGAAATCAAATATGCCACTGAAACTAGCCATCAGCTCCAGCAAATAAATGGACCCAGTAGCACAATATGCCACTGAAACTAGCCATCAGCTCCAGCAAATAAATGGACCCAGTAGCACAATATGCCACTGAAACTAGCCATCAGCTCCAGCAAATAAATGGACCCAGTAGCACAATATGCCACTGAAACCAAGAAAATAAATATACATCATAAATGTAGCAAAAACCATTTCTAATACCATAAAAAATAATCTCTCGTCACAAATTATTACCCTGGGCAAGAAAAACGTACTGGTAATTGTAGTTAATATCAAGTGAGCCAAGTAGGGAGAGAAAAGGGACTCTAAATTAACTTTTAAATTATTATTTTTCTTTGAGACAAAATTTCATCCCAACTGAAATTTTTTTTTTCAGTCTATAAGAAAGCTGTACACTCTGAGCTCTGAGTATTTGCGACCACTATGTGATGTACACTGAATAATTCACCTCTCCAAACGTTTATTCTCTGTGCAAAAATCTGCATCAGCTTGTTCATCAAATCATCAAACTGCAAGCAAGACATTTAGGCATATATTCTAACAGAACAAGTGAAACATTCATCATCAAAGGCAAAATCAACACACAAAAATGTATACTTGCCTCTGAAAACTGTATTCTAGTTGAGCATGAAATCTTCACCAACAGAATATAATACTTCTAATCACTGTTACTGACATTACAGTACCAATGAACAATCACACACCTAATTCTGTTTTTGATTAATGGTGCTATTACAGCTGAGAGCAATAACATAGCGTACCCAAGAGCTCTTATGCCGCTAAAGAGAGACAATGAGCCGATATCCCAAATGTAGAATAAAACTAGCTATAGAGAACAGTTCATCTTCACATTAAAACACCAATTGATTTCTAGAGAAACAAGTAACAATAAACCACAACAATGGTAAACTTCCGTTTTGTCTGAGAGTTTATCAACATTGTACATCTGACCAGTATTTTACAATAAGATCTAAAACACCAAAGAAGAATTATAACAATTTAAGCACAATGGAAAACTACTGGTGGTGAAGACATCTTCTACATAGCAGGAAATAGGCAAGCCACAACCATAACTAGTGCCTTCCATTACTGCTCCCCTTTCCTAGGGGATCCCACACTAGGCAATTTCACCACAGCAAACAGGTGTCCTGATCTTTCCTAGGGGATCCCACACTAGGCAATTTCACCACAGCAAACAGGTGTCCTGATCTTTCCTAGGGGATCTCACACTAGGCAATTTCACCACAGCAAACAGGTGTCCTGATCTTTCCTAGGGGATCCCACACTAGGCAATTTCACCACAGCAAACAGGTGTCCTGATCTTTCCTAGGGGATCCCACACTAGGCAATTTCACCACAGCAAACAGGTGTCCTGATCTTTCCTAGGGGATCCCATACTAGGCAATTTCACCACAGCAAACAGGTGTCCTGATCTTATTCAAAAAGAGAAAATTGAAACATAGGCACAGGATGGTAAAAGAACAAGTCAACTTCTATAAAAATACAAATAATTGTACAGGACAGCAACCAGCATCTACAGAAGTTATTTTCCAATGTTTTTGAAAGTTCACATCATGTCTTAACTGACTTTCTACAGAGCAAAAAAGAATTTTAAACTGTTTCAAAAGAGAAATTAGACAAATAAAAAATTTCTAAGGCTCAAAAAATCTGAAGATCGAAACTGTAGTGGTGTTTTTCAGTTCAACTTTCTCAGCTCACAGTGTCCAAGAATACGTCAAACAGAATCCATCAAAATACGTACACTTCTCAATTGAGGCATAAATAAAAAATACCTCTATCAGTAGAAAATCTCAGTTCATTATAACCAGTTCTTTGGATTTCTTTCAACAGAAGCTATAGTACCTTCCCACACCTGACTTTCTTAATGCTCACATGTTTCAATACATCAAACGGGATCCACCTCGGCCAACACCAGCTGCTGAAGATCAAAGGTAACTCAGCACAAAAGAAGCCTAAACTGATTCAAACAGATTTCTTAAAATCACCACTAATTTCTTCTCAGTCACCAAAATGGCAGTCATGTGTCTTTTTCAGTTTCATAGTATATATATTTCAAATGAGCTCTTATCCCAAACGCAGAGCAAAAAACAAAACAAAACACAAACACACACAAAAGAAATGGGTCGAAAAGGCCTCCCATCTATCTTTTGAGCAAAATTATCACAGCATCATCACCTCCCCCCCCCCCCCCCCCTCCTCCTCCCCTTCTCTTTTGCCTTCCTGGAACAGTAAGTACAAAATCAGTCGACAGAAAAATCTTCCCTCCAATCAGTCCCTCGGGTCATCCAGGTCATCATCGCTGATATAGCCTTCCCTCTCCTCCTCTTGATGATCAAACTCTTCACTCTCATGTGCAGACTTGAAATCTTTACGTATTGCCTCCAATTCTTCAAGTTCAAACTGAAACAGGAAGAGAAACACAGCCAACATGTATAATGAAGGGTTCCAACACTCTTAAAATCATCAAACATATTATAAACAGAACCTATGCCTGGAAAGACTCAGAAGAAAAGGAGCCAAGAAATGAGTATGCTTGATTGTTGCCACAATTATTTTGTGGAAATTTCAGCTCACAAAATAATTCAGGATACGGCCATACAGGGCATAAGTGCTCACATTGGCCTAGCGCCCACAAAGATCAGTCTGTATGTACGCTGGTATGCTTTTTTCGTGACTCAATGGATATGAAAAGAAGCTTTGTCAATCTTCGATAATTTTTCAGTAATTTCAGATTTACATCTTAGCATACACAAATCACACGCCATGACTACAAATGATCCGTTGTGGATTCAATTTACTGATACAATCAAAATGCTTGGTATTTATCTTAGTAATACAAAATTAGCTGCGGAAAAACTGGACTGCTAGGATAAATAATGTTATCAGAATATTTGGCACATGGGTAAGACAGGAATTTTCAATTATTGGAAAACTACATTCAGTCAAGACTTTTGGTATTAGCTAGTTTGTTTTCGTAAGAAAAGCATAGCATTTCTGAAACATGTGCTGGATGATGTCAATAGAAACATTTCCGATTTATCTGGAAGAAGAGTTTTAACATTGCTATTGGTTACCAGTGGACAACAGAAGTGAAAAACATTTTGTGAGGCAGCGTGGTGGAATCAGGCTCTCGTCAAAATAATCGAAGTCAAGAAACTTGCATTTTTCCGCAGGTTTGTGGGTTTTTATTGAATTTTTGTTTTTTGGCTCAACACCTTTCATGCCCATTAAAGAACTCATTTCTGTGTGAATTTTTCTGAAAAACGTTGATTAAAGGAACAAAAAATGTAAATTTTCTGTTACCACGGACTCTTAAGCTTAGTAAATGACTAATCTTTGGCGGCCATTTTCTCACTAATTTTACCTCTGAAAACAGGTGACCCCCACCTCCTTCTTTCCCAAATATCTCGGCTTGTATTCAAGATAAATGGATATCTTTTTCATCCAAATAAAGACAAATGAACACGCTTTAAGATGATAAAAATAACTCTACATGCCCAAAAATTGACGAGAGCCTGATTCCACCACGCTGCCTCACTTTTCTTCTTTATTGAATCTTGTGTGGACACTTGCTACCTACCTTGACATGCTGTAAGTGATGGTGTCTCTTGGAGCTGATTGACCTCATGGGGAATGGATTCAGCTCGGAAAAAGCAATCTGTAAAGAAAAAAAGAAGGAAAGGAGGAGTTCAATACACTTGGAAGAGGAAAGGGGCTGAGAGTGGAAGTGGAAGTTTCAAAACAGCTGGAGTGGGCTGATAGTGGGCTGATAGTGGGCCGATAGTGGGCTGATAGTGGGCTGATAGTGGGCTGATAGTGGGAGTCTGGGTGGGTTGGCACTAGGAAGATTAAAACTTGACCTAGGCAAGCTGAAATAAGGCAGATGAAACATGAAGGTGATAGGTCATTGAAAGAATCGTCAACTGAATGCTCATTTGTTACATTGAAAAAGGTAATTTTAAAGCAAAGCAAAGATTTTAATTTCTGTAACCTAGATCTGTATACACATCTGTGATTTACAAAATGTAAGAACATACAGTGTGTAAAAACACTGCTGCTAAAAAAATTCTGATTCAATGGGTGAAAGCCCCCAGAAAGCTGATTTTTTTTTTTTATGACTGCAATGACAACCAGAGAGCTAAACTTTCTCTCAATCAACTCACTCAGTAAACTTTCTGAACTTTCCGAGAAAGTCTCAGGCAAGGCACTATATGCACAAAGTATAACTGATCATTAAACTCTTAATTTCTCTTTTAAATGCCAAAGATCAAAGAGGGAAAAACTAGATAGAAATGAAGAGGACTTTCACAGGAATGCAGTGCTTGTTTCTCAATCTGGTACCTCCCTCTAGTAAAAGGGAAAAGAAAAGTTGTCCAGTAGAATAGATGCTCGTACTAACAGTGGCTCCTGCTCAATATTTCTATCACTGTAGTGCATCAATAGAGAGCAAGTTGTCCAGTAGAATAGATGCTCGTACTTACTGTGGCTATCTTCCTCACGTCAGTAATGTTTTCTATCACTGTAGTGCATCAATAGAGAGCAAGTTGTCCAGTAGAATAGATGCTCGTACTTACTGTGGCTATCTTCCTCACGTCAGTAATGTTTTCTATCACTGTAGTGCATCAATAGAAAGCAAGTTGTCCAGTAGAATAGATGCTCGTACTTACTGTGGCTATCTTCCTCACGTCAGTAATGTTTTCTATCACTGTAGTGCATCAATAGAGAGCAAGTTGTCCAGTAGAATAGATGCTCGTACTTACTGTGGCTATCTTCCTCACGTCAGTAATGTTTTCTATCACTGTAGTGCATCAATAGAGAGCAAGTTGTCCAGTAGAATAGATGCTCGTACTTACTGTGGCTATCTTCCTCACGTCAGTAATGTTTTCTATCACTGTAGTGCATCAATAGAGAGCAAGTTGTCCAGTAGAATAGATGCTCGTACTTACTGTGGCTATCTTCCTCACGTCAGTAATGTTTTCTATCACTGTAGTGCATCAATAGAGAGCAAGTTGTCCAGTAGAATAGACGCTCGTACTAACAGTGGCTCCTGCTCAATATTTCTATCACTGTAGTGCATCAATAGAGAGCAAGTTGTCCAGTAGAATAGATGCTCGTACTTACTGTGGCTATCTTCCTCACGTCAGTAATGTTTTCTATCACTGTAGTGCATCAATAGAGAGCAAGTTGTCCAGTAGAATAGATGCTCGTACTTACTGTGGCTATCTTCCTCACGTCAGTAATGTTTTCTATCACTGTAGTGCATCAATAGAGAGCAAGTTGTCCAGTAGAATAGATGCTCGTACTTACTGTGGCTATCTTCCTCACGTCAGTAATGTTTTCTATCACTGTAGTGCATCAATAGAAAGCAAGTTGTCCAGTAGAATAGATGCTCGTACTTACTGTGGCTATCTTCCTCACGTCAGTAATGTTTTCTATCACTGTAGTGCATCAATAGAAAGCAAGTTGTCCAGTAGAATAGATGCTCGTACTTACTGTGGCTATCTTCCTCACGTCAGTAATGTTTTCTATCACTGTAGTGCATCAATAGAAAGCAAGTTGTCCAGTAGAATAGATGCTCGTACTTACTGTGGCTATCTTCCTCACGTCAGTAATGTTTTCTATCACTGTAGTGCATCAATAGAAAGCAAGTTGTCCAGTAGAATAGACGCTCGTACTTACTGTGGCTATCTTCCTCACGTCAGTAATGTTTTCTATCACTGTAGTGCATCAATAGAAAGCAAGTTGTCCAGTAGAATAGACGCTCGTACTTACTGTGGCTATCTTCCTCACGTCAGTAATGTTTTCTATCACTGTAGTGCATCAATAGAAAGCAAGTTGTCCAGTAGAATAGATGCTCGTACTTACTGTGGCTATCTTCCTCACGTCAGTAATGTTTTCTATCACTGTAGTGCATCAATAGAAAGCAAGTTGTCCAGTAGAATAGATGCTCGTACTTACTGTGGCTATCTTCCTCACGTCAGTAATGTTTTCTATCACTGTAGTGCATCAATAGAAAGCAAGTTGTCCAGTAGAATAGATGCTCGTACTTACTGTGGCTATCTTCCTCACGTCAGTAATGTTTTCTATCACTGTAGTGCATCAATAGAAAGCAAGTTGTCCAGTAGAATAGACGCTCGTACTTACTGTGGCTATCTTCCTCACGTCAGTAATGTTTTCTATCACTGTAGTGCATCAATAGAAAGCAAGTTGTCCAGTAGAATAGATGCTCGTACTTACTGTGGCTATCTTCCTCACGTCAGTAATGTTTTCTATCACTGTAGTGCATCAATAGAAAGCAAGTTGTCCAGTAGAATAGATGCTCGTACTTACTGTGGCTATCTTCCTCACGTCAGTAATGTTTTCTATCACTGTAGTGCATCAATAGAAAGCAAGTTGTCCAGTAGAATAGATGCTCGTACTTACTGTGGCTATCTTCCTCATGTCAGTAATGTTTTCTATCACTGTAGTGCATCAATAGAAAGCAAGTTGTCCAGTAGAATAGATGCTCGTACTTACTGTGGCTATCTTCCTCACGTCAGTAATGTTTTCTATCACTGTAGTGCATCAATAGAGAGCAAGTTGTCCAGTAGAATAGACGCTCGTACTAACAGTGGCTCCTGCTCAATATTTCTATCACTGTAGTGCATCAATAGAAAGCAAGTTGTACAGTAGAATAGACGCTGGTACTTACAGTGGCTATCTTCCTCACGTCAGTAATGTTTTCCCCCAGGGTACGCATGTACCGATTGATGGCAAGAGTGCTGGACTGTTCCAGAATGTCATCTTCCACGTACTTGAGGAAGGCTAGGGCAAAACGGAAGAGCACCTGGAACAAAGAAGTGGAATGAGATAAGAGAAAAGATAAGATAATACTTCATTATCCCAGAGGGAAATTTTCCTTGGCTGTACAGGACCGTAAAAACACATGCAGGTATTTTTTTTTTTTAATAAAAATTTTTAAAATTTTAAATTATATATATTACTCTCATTAAAATTCAATATGAAAGGAGAAGTAAAGCTGACAAAATGTACATTTACATCAAATGCATCATTCAACCACATGCAGGAATTTAAATACTAGACCTTTGGAGTTATATAAAGATACATACTCTAAGAGCAAGACACAACTATGCTCATTCTGACAAAAGCCTTATGCTAGATGGTAAAAAACTCCTTTTATATCTTTCTTTCTTTGTTTTTGGAGGAACATATCTGCCGCTGCGTGATATTACAATTTGTGTGGAGCCTTGAGCCTTGAGAATGAAAGGAGAAGAAGTCATTCCACTGTTTGAGCTACAAACATGGAAACACAGTAAGGTTCATTTACAAGGAGAAAAATAAGATGCACCAGGTAAAGAACAGAAACCAATAGCCTTGTTGTCAAATGAAAAACAATACCGTGTATGTGTATATGAGAGTGCATCAGTAATTCATGCTTAAGTGCGCATATCTGTGAGAGCATGTGTGTATGTACTTATGAGTGAGAGCATGTGTGTATGCACTTATGAGTGAGAGCATGTGTGTATGCACTTATGAGTGAGGGTGTGGCTGTGTGAGCGTTTGTATGCCTGAGTGGGTGTATGAGAAAGAGACAGAGAGATAGACAATGAGACAGACAGAAAGTCAGATAGACAGACAAACAGAGGGACAAAAAGATGAGTACGGAAAAAAGGACACAGATAGAATGAGAAAATCAGTCAAAGGTGGGAAGAGAGAAAATATGTTCAAACATCTGTTAGCATTGTAATCAGAGAGACAAGGTAAAAGTTTGTTACTATATTAGTTAAACGTTTCACATAAGCGCCTCACGGCAAATAAAGACCTCATTAGCTCATTATTTCCTGGAAAATGTTTAATGCATTTGCCTATTTGTTTGTGTGGGTGGTTGGCGGGTGCTCTGGTGTGGTTTGCTTCTTCTTTCCTATCAAACATCTATCGTCTTTATCTCCCCTTGTTCTTTTTTATGTTTGTTACTCTCTTGTGTAACACCTCTAATCTTCTGCCGCTCATATGACCTTATGCAGTTGCGAGCGCCGTAAAACTTCTACTAAAACTAAACTATTTGTTTATTAATTTTGGATTTGTCTTATTACAAGGAAGAACATTGACACAGTAAATATAACCGACAGCCGATATATAATGTTAGAAGTAGAACACCTAACTCTCTTACTTCAGATTCAGACAGATCTTCACTTCACACAGAATGACCAAAAAAACATTACTTAGAAAAACATTAACTTTGAAGATATAGTATTTTATGCAAGCAAATTGACAGATAGCAATTATCTAACGAGTATGAACATCTTCATACTGACTTGGGGGAAATTGAAAACCCCTTCTAGAGATTGTGTACCATATTCTGTCAAATAGGAGAAAAACACAAAACAGGAAATATAATAATAATAATAATAATAATAATAATAATAATAATAATAATAATATATAACATTTATATAGCGCATTTCCAAAAAAAAATATGAAAGAAGTCATTATAGAATATTGAAAAAAAAAACATACATAAAGCCCACTATGTTCCTGATGAAATGGAGAAAATACTGCGTCCCAACGTACCTTACTTCCTTCATACAGGAAAACATCCCATACTTTGACGAAGAGCTCCGGCAGAATTCCATCCACGAAAATCGTTAAGAACCAGTTGAAGGTGAAGAGTGAGAGGTCAACATCGTGGGTCTCCAGATGAGCATGCAATTTGGGACATTTGTCTTGCACAAGGTCCTTTAGCACCCGCTGAAAAGACAGAGCATAATTTCAACATCAAGTGAAGTTGTTATAGAGTAGTTGCAAAAGCTAAAACAGCATGGTAACATACATTTTGTTTGTTTGACGGAGCTAAGAGACACAAATTGACACAATAACAGTCACTTAGTGTATGGGGAAAAAACAAAATAAGACTAGCCAAAACAATGGAGTAAAAGGAGAAAAGAAGGACCTACCCATTGCACCCCCCCCCCCCCCCACCACACCACCACCACCTTAACGGATACATTGAAAAGGATAAAAGTTGACCTTGTAACCAAAAAAAAGGGGAACCCCCCCGCAACTAAAGACCACATCATGCCAGGAAACTCACCAACCACTTGCTCCCATTTGTTTTAAAACAATCCTAGACTTACCCATATTACACCTTAACATGTCAATAAAAACAAACAAAAATTCTGAAAAAGACGGTAATAATGTTTAGTGGCCACAGCCACCCACTAACACAGGAATTTCAATTATCGATTTACGGTAAACGACATATTTCCTAGACAGCAAGAACAGACAGATTGAGAAATTCATTCGTACCAACTGCAGTGAAGTTACTGAACTCATGGTGCTACAAATGAGAGAGAGAGAGAGAGAGAGAGAGAGAGAGAGAGAGAGAGAGAGAGAGAGAGAGAGAGAGAGAGAGAGAGACAAAGAGAGAGAGACAAAGAGAGAGAGAGAGAGAGAGAGAGAGGGGGGGGGGGAGAGGGACAGACGGACAGACGGACAGACGGACAGACGGACAGACAGACAGACAGACAGACAGACAGACAGACAGACAGACAGACAGACAGACAGACAGACAGACAGACAGACAGAGAGAAAATGTTTTACAGGGCGGAGTTGTTTTTTCAGCATGTAAAACATGTATTTCCTAAAGTCCTGTCTTGTTGTGTGTACGCATGTGTGCACCTAACCCTTGTAAAATCCACTGCCATTGCAAACGACCAAGACAAATTTCTCCCTGTGAAAAAAAAAATTGCTATTGTCATTGTTAAGAAATCGTTTCAACAACAAAATTTTCACACACTATTAACATTTGTACGCTTACCTGATCTGCCTGGGCAGCGGCCAGTGTGTTTGTGTAGTAGTCCGCCGGCATCAGATGCTCAATGATGGAGACCAGACACCAGAAGGCATCCTCCTCCGTCAGGAAGAGAAGTGCAATAGCAGCAATACGATTCAAGCCCTGGAGGGAAACCGAACGCTAGATTTATTCTATAGATACATTTTCATGTACGTGAATGCCCATGTAAGTGAATGATGCATACATTTTAATGCCATTATAGACTACTAAATTGTCTTGTAAAGCGCCATGAGGATTGTAAATTATGGGAATGCAAAATATAGATCTCATGCATTATTATTGTCATTATTATTATTGTTATTAATATTATTATTACTTCAGCCCTCCATTCTTAAGATAGGTTAAAATTGTCTCTCAGGTATAACATCATAACTACCACAAGGTTGACCTTGTCCCTGCAACTAAAACTAAACTATTTGTTTATTAATTTTGGATTTGTCTTATTACAAGGAAGAACATTGACACAGTAAATATAACCGACAGCCGATATATAATGTTAGAAGTAGAACACCTAACTCTCTTACTTCAGATTCAGACAGATCTTCACTTCACACAGAATGACCAAAAAAACATTACTTAGAAAAACATTAACTTTGAAGATATAGTATTTTATGCAAGCAAATTGACAGATAGCAATTATCTAACGAGTATGAACATCTTCATACTGACTTGGGGGAAATTGAAAACCCCTTCTAGAGATTGTGTACCATATTCTGTCAAATAGGAGAAAAACACAAAACAGGAAATATAATAATAATAATAATAATAATAATAATAATAATAATAATAATAATATATAACATTTATATAGCGCATTTCCAAAAAAAAATATGAAAGAAGTCATTATAGAATATTGAAAAAAAAAACATACATAAAGCCCACTATGTTCCTGATGAAATGGAGAAAATACTGCGTCCCAACGTACCTTACTTCCTTCATACAGGAAAACATCCCATACTTTGACGAAGAGCTCCGGCAGAATTCCATCCACGAAAATCGTTAAGAACCAGTTGAAGGTGAAGAGTGAGAGGTCAACATCGTGGGTCTCCAGATGAGCATGCAATTTGGGACATTTGTCTTGCACAAGGTCCTTTAGCACCCGCTGAAAAGACAGAGCATAATTTCAACATCAAGTGAAGTTGTTATAGAGTAGTTGCAAAAGCTAAAACAGCATGGTAACATACATTTTGTTTGTTTGACGGAGCTAAGAGACACAAATTGACACAATAACAGTCACTTAGTGTATGGGGAAAAAACAAAATAAGACTAGCCAAAACAATGGAGTAAAAGGAGAAAAGAAGGACCTACCCATTGCACCCCCCCCCCCCCCCACCACACCACCACCACCTTAACGGATACATTGAAAAGGATAAAAGTTGACCTTGTAACCAAAAAAAAGGGGAACCCCCCCGCAACTAAAGACCACATCATGCCAGGAAACTCACCAACCACTTGCTCCCATTTGTTTTAAAACAATCCTAGACTTACCCATTTTACACCTTAACATGTCAATAAAAACAAACAAAAATTCTGAAAAAGACGGTAATAATGTTTAGTGGCCACAGCCACCCACTAACACAGGAATTTCAATTATCGACTTACGGTAAACGACATATTTCCTAGACAGCAAGAACAGACAGATTGAGAAATTCATTCGTACCAACTGCAGTGAAGTTACTGAACTCATGGTGCTACAAATGAGAGAGAGAGAGAGAGAGAGAGAGAGAGAGAGAGAGAGAGAGAGAGAGAGAGAGAGAGAGAGAGAGAGAGACAAAGAGAGAGAGACAAAGAGAGAGAGAGAGAGAGAGAGAGAGAGGGGGGGGGAGAGGGACAGACGGACAGACGGACAGACAGACAGACAGACAGACAGACAGACAGACAGACAGACAGACAGACAGACAGACAGACAGACAGACAGACAGACAGACAGACAGACAGAGAGAAAATGTTTTACAGGGCGGAGTTGTTTTTTCAGCATGTAAAACATGTATTTCCTAAAGTCCTGTCTTGTTGTGTGTACGCATGTGTGCACCTAACCCTTGTAAAATCCACTGCCATTGCAAACGACCAAGACAAATTTCTCCCTGTGAAAAAAAATTGCTATTGTCATTGTTAAGAAATCGTTTCAACAACAAAATTTTCACACACTATTAACATTTGTACGCTCACCTGATCTGCCTGGGCAGCGGCCAGTGTGTTTGTGTAGTAGTCCGCCGGCATCAGATGCTCAATGATGGAGACCAGACACCAGAAGGCATCCTCCTCCGTCAGGAAGAGAAGTGCAATAGCAGCAATACGATTCAAGCCCTGGAGGGAAACGAAACGCTAGATTTATTCTATAGATACATTTTCATGTTCCTGAATGCCCATGTAAGTGAATGATGCATACATTTTAATGCCATTATAGACTACTAAATTGTCTTGTATAGCGCCATGAGGATTGTAAATTATGGGAATGCAAAATATAGATCTCATGCATTATTATTGTCATTATTATTATTGTTATTAATATTATTATTACTTCAGCCCTCCATTCTTAAGATAGGTTAAAATTGTCTCTCAGGTATAACATCATAACTACCACAAGGTTGACCTTGTCCCTGCAGAAGGTGGAGACTCTGGGATACGTGAAGAAGGAGAGAGAGAGAGAGAGAGAGAGAGAGAGAGAGAGAGAGAGAGTCATAGTAGTCATAAGTGAAGAAGGAAAACTACCTTCTGAATGAGTAGCTGAAGCTGCTGAAGTAGTTCTTTACCCAGAAAATTATATGACAGAAGCAAAATGAAACCAGGAAAAAACAACTTTCCTCAGTTAGTCTCACTCTATCTGATGATAGATATAAGCAGTTAGTCTCACTCTATCTGATGATAGATATAAGCAGTTAGTCTCACTCTATCTGATGATAGATATAAGCAGTTAGTCATATTAGATATAATGCTATTTTAATATATATAAACAGAGTGGACTACCACTTTTTTTTGCATTGAAGACATTCCACAATTTGTGGAGCTCAGCAAATTCTCGATACATTTAAGTCCCCTATGAAAGTTGAGAACATTTTTGTCCAGTACAACCAACAGATGTGGAAACCAAGGAAATGGTGAGCCCAGAGAAGTCATGTGTACTCATAAATTAACCAAACAAAATGCCTTACTGAAATTATAGATGGATTAAAAAACAAACATTTATGTACAGACCAATAGTTGACATAACTGTCCTGCTACTAAATTTTCGCAAGATATGGAATACCATACCAAGAGATAAAGATCATACTCCCCCCAAGCCTTTCCTGTGTTGTCAGAAAAGAAATCAAACAATTGGGAAAACTTAAAATTAAGAACGAATGAACAAATACGATCCTGATAAAACTTATCATCAATTCTTTGGGGGAAAAAGTAACAAAAACCAAACAACAGCTGACCTGGCAATAGCCAATTAACGGGTTGTGCACACTGTAACACAGCAAAACTTTACGCAGCTTTGGAATGCCCGGAGACTCCATTTTTTCAAAGAACCTGTTGTCAGGCAATGTCCTTAACAAGTCCAACTCAATCTGACGATAAAAATAGGAAATAACAGTCATGTTAGATGTACAAGTTTAGGTGAATATCTGGCACAGTCTGATGATAGAAATAAGAAATAACAGTTATGTTAGATGTACAAGTTTAGGTGAATATCTAGCACAGTCTGATGATAGAAATAAGAAATAACAGTCATGTTAGATGTACAAGTTTAGGTGAATATCTAGCACAGTCTGATGATAGAAATAAGAAATAACAATAGTCATGCTAGATATACTGCTTTATGTACATGACTAGCTCATTTTGAGTTTTAAATGTTGCTGCTTTTACGACCAAATCAAGAGAATTTCGATCATTTAGGGGTCAGGTTTGACCCTGCCTGTCAGGACCCTACTGGGATGACAGGGCTCGATGTCTAGGCACAAACATCCATTTACTCCATTAGACTTCACCCCACAAGGGAATCTTAACTCATGTTTTCTTTGTGCAACAGCAGAGTGCCTAATCACTGCATCACAGACATTTGTATATATCGAACTCACTTTGAAGATAGAGAAAAAATAACAGCTATATATCAGATGACAATCAATGATTTATTTATAGAGGCACCAGCCATCCATGTCCAGGTGCTATCTTAGCCAAAAGCTATATCAGATATTCAACTTTTAAGCACATATCCAACTCAATCCGACGTTAGAGATAAATAAATAACAGTCAAGTTTCTGTACATATCTACCTGAATCCAATGGTTGAGATGAGGAAATAACAGTCATGTGAGATATGCAACTTCATGAAAGTGTCTAGCAAAGTGCCAGACCACAAGGAAAGGGCAAGAAAGCAGAGAGCAAAAAAATGGAGGAAAGAAAAGAAGAGTACTCCCAGGAGACACTCTCCCACCACCTACTCTCATTAAATTTAAAGCCAGCTCAAGTCATCTTTGTTCTTAGATTAAAGAGACATATATATGTAGATTTTCAGTCAGAGTACAATGTATTGTCTATGTGTTGCTATTTGTACTTGTGAAGTGCTCAGAGGCTGTGTTTTTTAATTGCTATATAATTTGTCAAATAATATATTACATGTGTCATGCCGCCGTGGAAACAGGTACTCGTCAATTTTTCGGCCCGTGGGCTTATTGGTATAACCTTAAACTTGTACATTTACCATTCATATGATTAAAAAAACAACAAAAAACATGTATCTTCAATAGAATTTTGAGACATTTGCGATTGAAGGAGATAGCGGTTGCCAGGAGTCAGGGGTAAAATTAGTGCTGCCAAAGTTTGTTCACTTCCAAAGTTGTAGTGTTCTTGGAAACTGAAAATTTATATCAATCAACATTTTCCACAAAGAAATGTTTTTCAATGGACATAAAAGGTGTTGAGCCCAAAACACACACAAAATTGATAAAAATTGCCAAACATGTAGAAAAAATGTCGAGTTCTTTGATTTCACAACTTTGACGCGCACCTGATTTCCCCATGATGCAACACAAATAATGATAGGCCCCCCTACCTGTTTCATTGCTGGACTTGACCTGCTGTTCATAGCTCGCTCCTCCAGCTCCTTGAAATACTTGTCCCCTAGCTTTATCCGTGACTGGTTCACACAAAGACTTATACACCTGAGAGTAGACATGATGACACTTCATTGATACACCTGAGAGTAGACATGATGACACTTCATTGATACACCTTGAAATCCTAATGAAATTGACGACAAAAGAGTGAAAAGGGAAGGCCATATCTTCTCTCTCTATGTATTCATTCCATCCTCTCTCCCTCTCTCTCTTTCCCTCCCACTCTCCTTCCCCAGTCTCTCTCTTCCCTCCCTCCCCCTTGCCTCTCTCTTTCAGTCTCTACCCCCCCCCCTCCTTACTCTGTCTCTCCCTCTCTCTTGGAATGGAAACAATCTATGAAACACCTACAGAGACATCGTTTGGACTAGAAAACTGTGGACTTCAACTTGACTATTGAAATACTTGTCTCCTCAACATAAAAATATCGGATACAGAAAAATCCTTGGGAATTCCACAACAAATATAGAGAACACCCATCTGTGCTTCGAGTGAGCATGACACCCAAGAGCTCACCCTTTCCATATCCTCTCTCTACAGTCGTGAGGGACGCCCAGCCGGATAAGTGTCTTGAGCTCGGTAGATCTGACCAGCTGCTTGGACGCACTAAAGCCAAGCATGTACTTCTCCCACTTGGTCCTAGTGGTCGTCTCTTCATCCACATCCTGAAAGAGAAATATGTTGAGATATGGATAGTGACTTACACTTTTCAATTGTCAGGTGACAGAAAGAGTATTTTTCGATCTTCAATGACAAACTGTCTTTAGACATGACACACGAAAGGATAATGAACTGTCTTGTCTGCATCTTGATACGAAAAATTTGGCGTGCTCATTATTTTTTCCGATTAACACACAATGTCCAAAATTTACAAGTAATATTTTTATGCCTTTCTTGTATGATCTGCTTTCTTGTATGTCTCGATAATGACTGACCCCGTACGTCCATGCTCAAAATAAAAACTTCATTAAAAGAAACCACGTATTTACTTACTCCGGGGTTTTTTACGATAAAAGTGAAAAACAGGAGAGAATTCTATAAGTGGAAGATTAGCATCCTTGATGACAAATCACCTACCCGGATCATGTACCCTATCTCAACGGACTGGCGCTGGAGAATGTTGGCTCTCGACAGCAGGACATCATCCTCATCATGGCCAAACTTGAGGAAGCCGAAGCGGTCATACTCCTTCCTGCAAAGTGAGCATGATTCAAATTGTAGTGGAGTACAATAAGAGAACTGACATGTGATGTGTTACATGCATTGTTCAGGTCAGAATCCTCGTTTTTTAAAATAAATTTGTTTTTGTCTTTCTTTAGGGGGGGGGAGGGGTTAAGGTATGACTCAAGGCTTCACAGAAAGAGACTTGCCCAATTTAATTAGTTAAAAGGAATTACTTTCAAACGCTGAACTTTCTGTCAAAATATAAAAACCTAAGAAAAAGAACAGGCGCAAATGTTTTCCATGTTTTTCAAAGCAGGTTTCTAATAATTGTTTAACTCAATATTTCAGGTCTCCACTCAAGACTGATGTGCAACTACAAGAATTTGCTACAATGATCAACACAAATGGGAAATAAAATCTTTACTTTTGTGCAAACACTTGCTTCTTTGACATGCCAAAAACAGTGCAAAGACTTGCTTCTTTGACATGCCAAAAACAGTGCAAAGACTTGCTTCTTTGACATGCCAAAAACAGTGCAAAGCAGTACAATTTCTCTTGTAGGTTGAAAGAGAAAAAAACAACCCAGACATGTATGTATTCTGGCCGTCCACAACAATGGTACATACCAAAAAAAAATAATTTTAAAAACGTTCAGAGAATGGAAGACTCCACTAGCTCCTGCAAGAGATGTTGGGAGGAGGGAAGTGTGTTCACTGAACACACCTATGATCAGGATCAGCCAGTCTAAACAACATTCTTCTTACCCTTGGGAAGAGATGAAGGTTTGCCTGTTGCTGTCTTCTGTTTCTGTTTCCAAAGCCTCCTGCAACAGCTGAGTGACCACTTCCTGAGACTTATTCTCATCGCCACCTGGTGGATAGAGTAGAGTGGATAGAGAAGAGTGGATAGAGAAGAGTGGATAGAGTAGAGTGGATAGAGTAGAGTGGATAGAGAAGAGTGGATAGAGAAGAGTGGATAGAGAAGAGTGGATAGAGAAGAGTGGATAGAGTAGAGTGGATAGAGAAGAGTGGATAGAGTAGAGTGGATAGAGTAGAGTGGATAGAGAAGAGTGGATAGAGAAGAGTGGATAGAGAAGAGTGGATAGAGAAGAGTGGATAGAGAAGAGTGGATAGAGAAGAGTGGATAGAGAAGAGTGGATAGAGAAGAGTGGATAGAGTAGAGTGGATAGAGAAGAGTGGATAGAGTAGAGTTCTGGTAGGAAAGATCTACACCTAGCCTTCTTGGACAAGGGCGAAAAATCTCGGAGGGCCCGTGTGCAAGTTGCGCACGTTAAAGATCCCTTGGTGGTCTAAAATCGATAAGAGTAGGCTTCGGCCGCCACCCGGGCAAAATTCAAAATTTCCTACCAACTGAAAATATTAGGTGTGTCCCGCGCGCTCATATGACCTTATGCAGTTGCGAGCGCCGTAAAACACTTCACAAAACAAAAAAAGAGAAGAGTGAAAGAAGTAGCGTGGATAGAGTACAGTAGAGTGGATAGGGTAAAGTGGATAGAGTAGAGTGGAGAGAGTCGAGAGAAAAGAGTAGAATGGATAGGGTTGGAAAAAAAGTCTTATTTGAGTCTGTCTGAGCACATCAACACAATAACAGTCATTTATCACTGGGGAAAAAAAGCAAGACAGACAGAGAGAAATAACAGAAGGAGAGTAAAGAATAAGGACCAACTGGTGGCGTCTTTCAGCCTCCTCTTATTTGATTGGAGTCTGAGCTTTAGAAGCAATTTCACACACAATTCAACACACAGAAAAGCAGGTCCCCAAAATCAAGGTACACATCAACTCTCTCTGGTACACATCTTCCACAAGACAATTGGGATAACCATGCAAAACAGAATACCATCATCGTTGTAGAGTATCTAACTTATTGAGCAAACCATGTGCCAACAGTTGGAAACACATCAAACAATACACACTGTGCGACAACAACAAAAGGGGGGAGAAGGGGCAAGACAAGAGGTGGGTGACAAAGTCTACGCCGATCATGTCATAGTTCTAAACCTTTATGTATGAAAACTGTTGTGTTGATTTCAATCTTCATGTAAATGTTGAACAATCATGCCGTTATTGATGTTGCTGTTGTAATCATTATTGGTTGTTTTCCCAGCTGCTGCTGTTACTCCTGACATTTTCTTCCATGTGGTTCTTGTTAATCTGCCAGAGCCTCCATCCAAAAGCCATACATGTAGTATAAAAAGAGTGTCTTAATAAGTGTATCCCTTTCATGACGCAGACGGCAGAACTATGTAACCAAATAAAGCCAAACCACCAATCAATCATACATTATAACCACCCTGAAACAAGGTCATCACTGAAAACAAGGACGCTCTGTAGAAAGCTGTGACTCTGAGGTGACCCCACCCACAAAAAACAGCTGTGCAATGCCTGTGAGATACTCAGAGTTAAAAAGTTTCATTTGCTTCGCAAAGCCTCTCTCTCTCTCTCTCTCTCTCTCTCTCTCTCTCTCTCTTCCTCTTTCTCTATCCATCTTTCTCTCTCTCCCTCTCCCTCTTTTTTTCGATCTCCCTGTGAGTGTGTGTGGGAGTGTGTGCGTGTGCGTTGAGTTTCTCAATAAACCCCATTTAAACATGCTTTCAAAACAGCAGTCTTTTTTGTCCGTATGTTTCAGTCAAACATTTAAGAAGCACAGTCGAGAAAGTACTAACCAGTCACAAATTCACACGAACCACAAGCAACAAGAAATTGCGGAACATCTGTTCCGCTGTGACAACCTTGTGTAAAGTTGTCCCAAGCAAAGCAAGGTTTTAGTCGCTCGC